GGAGAAGAGACGCAGGAGACAATGAGACACGAAGAGCGGATAAGGAGCATTTAGACGACCAATGAAAGGACATGACGATTTTACTGAGCATGAAGTTTATTGAAGAATGAATGAGCATGGAATTGATATAAAATATTTTTACGTTTTAGCCAGACAAGAAGACGGTACTGTCTCGAAAACTTTACAATTTTAAATAATGACACAATATCATCTATATTTCCAGTTAAATATATATGATATATATATATATATATATATATAATATGCTGTGGTGGAATGACTTGGCGTGCGAGGCTTTTGCTTGCTGCGTGCGTGTGTGGGTGCGTGCGTGTGTGCGTGCTTGTTTGAGTGTATGTGTGTCATTTATACATAGACCTTTAATGAAACAAACACATAGTGGAGGAAAATAATGTAGTGAATTGCTGTACAGCGCGTTACATCACTTGACATTATGGCGCCAAACCATCAAAACAATCATTCGACAATAATCAAGAAGAATTTTGTGGACAAGGCTGAATACTATTGCTAACCAGAACCAGGTTATGGGACTACTACAAATGATCAGTAAGTGGACAGTATATACTATCATCTATAAAATTGGCCCATCATATCTCTACTAGTAACAATTTTAGTTTTTGTTATGGTTCGTTTAATAAACGTCAATATTGTCCAAGTATATAAGTTTTCCCTAACAGCACACTATAATAGCAGGCGGTACATATCTGGCGTATTGGCCGGGTGGAGTTCTGCTAACTAACTGCTGGCTTCATTTATTAGATGTGACATGGTAACGAGATCTCCAAACTATAAACACAGCGGGTATGGTAATGTGGCCAATCTAACGTTACAGTGTCTAGCCCTCAAGCTGCGCTGTATGTATGTGTGTGTGTGGGTTGTGTGCTGTGCACTGTGGCCCTGTGCTGTGCCGTTTCGTGCGTGCCAGTGCTCGTGCGCTGTTGCGCGTGTGTGCGTGCGTGCGTTGTGCCTGTGTGTGTGTGGTGTGCTGTGTGCTGGTGTGTGTGTGTGTGTTGTGTGTGTGTGTGTGCTGTCGTGTGTGTGTGCTGTCTGTAGTGTGTGTGTGGTGTGTTGTGTTGGTGTGTGTGGTGTGTGCGACCGACGGTATATGGGGACTCGTGAGTTGCGTAAGATATAGACATCTCTGCGCCGTCTAAGGCGTTTGTTTGTATTGCAACAGCTCGAGTGACGACGAGACGTGAAAAATGCTTTTGCGTGTTAGCTCTTTGCGTTGACACTGTCTGTTGTCTGGAGGGCCTTATATAGGAGCGGGATTGAGCGTCTGCCTTACAATTTCATTACTGATAAGAGGCCCTCGCTGTGCTACGCCTGGACATACAACCAGGATGCGACAAACATCAACGGCTAGGCGTTAAACTAGAGTTTGGAGGACTACAACAACCGCCAGAAATCCAGTGACGCTTGATCATAAGCCAGGGTGAAAATTCAGCCAGAGTGGGACTTCAATCAGGGGCGACCGTCAGTCAATGTGGTACATTCAACCAAATAAGTAATTTTTCATGGAAGTTTAAGTTCGCACACAGGCTCGGTTATTTTGTAAGTTTTTCAAGCCTGCTGAAATACCACGTGGGGTTGTGAAATCTATAGTAATTTCACCGAGAATATCGATGTGTAAGTATGTAATAATAGGAATATTTCAGCCGTATTTCGTGAAAACCCCCGGTTCTCGTCTGCCGGACATAATATATTTGACTATTATATTGGTATATGCTGTCTCTCTCTCTCCCTCTCTCTGGGGGGTGGGGTGCGCGCGCGTGGTGTATTGTATTTCTGTCTGCCGTGTGCGTGCGTGTGTAGCTATCGAAAATTATGTCTGCCAGCGCTGGCTCGAGGTATTATTGATCACAATTTGACGTGTAGCATTATCCTTTGGTGCTCAGCGAAAGTGGCAGTCGCCGCGCCTAAGCTAGCGGTGCAGGCGTTAGGAGTCAGGGTCAGGGTCATGGTTAGCGGTAGGGTAATTGAGTTAAGCGAGCTTGACATTTTGACATATGACATTCTTTGACATTTGGACCTTTGACATTTGATCATATAGGAGTGCCGTGCACACGTACATACATTTATACATGCATACATACATGCATGCACATGCCAAATTTGACAACCGTACATTTGGCACGTGCCGTAGGCATGCCAGTGAAATTTCTCACAATTTCACGTGTTTTTGTATGTTTGCAACCATACTTTTTGGCTATTTGTGAGTCTGGAAACATTTTCTTGAAGGGTTCATTTGCATGGTCTGCCGCCCTCAAAAGCACATTGTGTTCAGTTAAATAATCCGTAAATCTCACTTCTGCGTCAAGACAGACAATTCTCTATCTGCTGCAAAGAAGCTTGATATATTGGTTATAGATTCCACTGCACCTGCATAGCACTTATGCTTTTGAGAGACTATATGCCTCTGGCAGTCACTCTCTCCTCCGTGCCTTACTTGAAAGTCTGTATTGCATACCATGCAATAGCCATGATTAACACTGAATTGTACTGTAGGCTATACAGTTATACATATATTTAAAAAACTCATTTCTCATGCATTATGCTGAAATTGAAACGATCACATTTCTTTCTTTTTTCTTCTTCTTCCTTCTTTCTTTTTTTTTCTCTCTTTTTTTGAATCTCAGTGGGGATATTTGTACAGGCCACCCTCCCCCCTTCTTCAAGAGCGGGAGGGGGATGAATCTCCCGAATCCCCCCCCCCCGGGATTTACGCCCCTGCCTCCACCCATATGTTGTTCGAATATTGGAATATTTGTGGGATTACTATGGGTTTGATAAGTGATACTCACATTTCTGTGTGTTTTCAGGTGAACAGTGAGTGTACGGGGAGACGATACCGCCCATTGGCATGTCATGACAGTAATGGTAGACTCGTGGATCACTCAATGTGCTCGACCACAGGTATGATTGCTAATATCAGTATCACTACGGATTGATTGAAGAGCTGCAGCTATACAGATTCCTTAGTAGACTGCATTAATATAGTATAATATAAGAATATTTATCTAAAATATATATCTATATAAGATATCTACTAAGTAGAGTTCTCTATATTCTATATTCACGCTATATTCTATATTTGCTCAATACATTCTAAAATGATATTTAGTCGAGGCGAGCGTCTCTTGTTCATATAATTTGCATTCGATTGCTTAAATTAACATCAGTCAGTCTGTAGTAGTATTTCGATTAATATGCCATAGATGTGATACAACCCTTGTACACACAGCGTTATATTTCACTCACTCTTAGTTTATAAAGATAAGAGATGTATGGTCTGATATTCGCCTAGCATTATTGCATATAACTGCGCGTGCAATCGCGTGTGCCTATGCGTGAATTAGTGCGTGTCTGTGTGGTTTGTGCATGTCCGCGTGTCCATACATACATGTGCTTATGTATAATTGTAGTACGGTCTTTTAGCTAACAGAAAGAGAGAGGGGGGAATTTGGCACATTACCCATGCAATTGTTCAGGGACAGCCGGCGATGGGCCCAGAAGACATTAGCTGCATACTTAAGAGTAGACATAAATTACTGTGGACAGAAGGCATTTAAAAATGGTACGAACACATTAACTTCAACAAGAATGCGGCTGAGTTTATCAAACAGCCATCATTAAGGGAGTACCATCGGACGGTAGTTGCGACCGGTCGTTGTACCCACGACTCGCGACACAAATGAGTAAACAGGTCGGACGACGATGCCGACGGATAAAAAACAGGGGTTTTTGGGACAAGGAGAGAGACGTTGGCTACATCTGACTGCATGGTATGTGTACACTGCTGCTATCCGTGTTTATAATAAAACTATAATTGTCACCGTTTATACAACTGTTACGTTCTACTGTCTACGAACCACAAGTTCTACTCTACAATTTGGCGCCGTGACACAAAGAACCAGGGTATTCCTTTGCCAAACAACGAACTAAAGGTACTATAGCTATACGATGCACGAAAGTCGAGAGAAACACTGAGTGAAGACAGCTGTAATGATGAAGAAGAAGAAGAAGAGGAAGAAAAAAGACAGAAACCTATGACTATTGTGACGTTGGAACGAAGTGTTGCCGTTTCCGCCATACGAGCATTGCGTATGGAAATGCCTACGAACAATGATGTTGCCGCTAATAATTATGGCGCATATAAGCCAGAACTTATATCTTGTACGACCTGGCTATCGACGACGGGAACAGCAGCAGAATACGATCACGACGAAGCGAGGAACCGCAGAATACGATCACGACGACGCGGGGAACAGCAGAATACGATCACGACGAAGCGAGGAACCGCAGAATACGATCACGACGACGCGGGGAACAGCAGAATACGATCACGACGAAGCGAGGAACCGCAGAATACGATCACGACGACGCGGGGAACAGCAGAATACGATCACGACGAGACAAGGAGGAGAAGGCAGAGGAATGCAAGTTTTTGTAGCGAGATTCGGCAAAGTGCGCGCTTGCCGGATAACGCACTCAACGCGCAGACTACGGTTGATTACGCCTCGTTAGTACAACATGTCACAAACCCCCAACACAAGCAGCGCAGCTGAGACAGCACTCGAGTTATCAGCTGGATAAGGGGTCTACCGCTGGCGACCAAGCGAAGAAAAGCGCAATGGATGAACGACATTGCAATACGTATTACGGGTGAGTGAAGCAATCTAGTGTCGGCAGCTATTTTCAATTTTCGTAATTAGACGGGAAACTATAGTTTTCAAACCGCATGTTTTATAATACACGAGTGTGTTAGCGAAATACTAATTAAAGCACTTTTCCTACCTATAACTACCACCCCACCACCGCCTGGCTTACGAGTGTCTAAACTGCGCCGCACAATGCCCCAATTCGTATGTAAATACGTAGAATATTACCAATTTGATCTGTGTAGTTAAGAATGCGTCAGGTATATACGCATTTACTTGCCGCAGGAGGCAAGGTTGGCTATTATAAAGCCATGACGACTCAAGGCATACAGACTTAAGGAAATGAGTCGAGGTGCTAGTTAATATGTAAGAGAGTGGGACATGGTACTCCCCTAGAATCGCTGAAAATGGTCTACGAAAGTAAAAGTGAGACGATAGCGAGAGTATTTCGAAATGACGGTACTTTACCGAGGCCAGCAGGGCCCGGGGCTATAGTGTAGCAGCGCAGCAAAAATACACTCGGCAAGCCATTCAATTGTAACCGTTGAGGGCACCTACGTGGTCATTTTATTCTTATATACCGGGGTTAAAAATGTCACTCATGTTAGATAAATTGCCACTCACATTACAGTGTAAGGTTCACTGGGAATGTACCCTTAGGGCCCAAAACACCCACCCACCAGCCCATAACCAACCCCATCTACCCACCCACCATCTACCTGTTTTATTCTCAAAAGTGCTTGTTATGTTATTTCGATGTTCATACTTGCGAAACATGTAACAAATTTATAATAATGAAGGCCGACACAGTTGTTTCACAGCCTATCTGAATGAATGTATGTATGTATGTATGTATGTATGTATGTATGTATGTTTCACCGCCTACCAGGCATTAATTTATCTGAAGTGAGAAAAGGGGTATTTTTCATTTCAAGACGAGCAGGGCTCTTTGATAGAGAGGTATTATGTCCGGTTACGGGCATATGATCCAGACGACTAGTACAATCACCCGACAGACGTGCAGCATCTAGAGGGGTGACACCGACAGATGCTCCACCATAGTCTGACGGAGTTGCCCCCGTTGCCACGACCGACTCCACGGCCGCCACTCCATGGGGACCCTTTCGCCTAGGTCTGTGGCCACGGACCACATTAGGTTTGAGAGGGCCTGCTTGGATGGTTGCTAAGTTGGTTCGTTGGTCGCTGGTTATCGTGGTATAATCATTGCGCTGGACAAACCTCTCCCCTCACAAACTAACGGCTAATGGGCACTACCTGAATTTGTACAAGCACACGGGCTGCGTCAGTGCGTTAATGGGTAGCATGCAACTTAAAGTATTATCTTATTGCATCTATTTCAGTTACGACCGTGCGAGTATATTATATTCGATTTCTATGTCACGGATTTATTTGTGTTTCGTTTCCTTTTCATGTAATGTTGATTTGATTTGATTTCGTTTGCGATGTTCATTTTTTATTGCGATTTGAATGATGCGTTTACCACCACGCCCGTAATTTTATACGCAAATTATAACTTTTTGATACGCCAATTGTAACTTTTTATACACGAAGTCTAACTTTTGTACGCAAATTATAACGTTTTACGCGAATTTTAACTTCTTGTACGCGAATTGTAACGTTCATACGTGACTTTTAATATTGTACGCGATTTTTTTTTAGCTATTGTGCACATTCTATAGTAGGCGATTAGTGACGGTTCAACGTGGTGCCCTTCCAAGGGGACACGATATGTTTTCCACGATTATACGCGGATACTGTGTTATTGGTGTTCATATAGCGATTACCAGTGTTTTGTAACGATGTGGTTGCACGCAAGTTTTTTCGGAGACACTGTTCATGACGATGTGATATAATGTTACGGTTGCGGGTTGACTATATTTATGCTATTGTACGGTTGCGGTTATTTTTTCAGCATGTTACGATTATTATTATACTTAAGCGGTTACAGTTACAAGCAGACATATCACAATGATAGTACAGCGGCTACAGCCTTTCACATTTTCCGTGGCTCACATAAGCCATCAGCCCAGAATTTTATAGAGGATTTTTTTCCAGTCGGGAGACTGGACTAAGCCGATCCCATCGACTTTTCTTAGGGCGGGGTGAAATGTTGTACGGTCATCTAGCTAACAGAAAGAGAAAGAGGGAATTTAGCACATTACCCATGCAATTGTTCAGGGACGGCCGACGATGAGCCCATAAGACATTAGCTGCATACTTAGCTTGCAAGAGTAGACATAAATGAACGTGGACAGAAGGCATTTCAAAATGGTACGAACACATTAACTTCAACAAGAATGCGGCTGAGTTTATCAACAGCCATCATTAAGGGAGTACCATCGGACGGTAGTCGCGACCGGTCGTTGTACCCACGACCCGCGACACAAATGAGTAAACAGGTCGGACGACGATGCGGACGGATAAAAGACAGGGGTCTTGGGGAAAGGAGAGAGACGTTGGCTACATCTGACTGGTATGTGTACACTGTTGCTATCCGTGTTTATAATAAAACTATAATTGTCACCGTTTATACAACTGTTACGTTCTACTGTCTACGAACCACAAGTTCTACTCTACATAATTACTTGTATATTTATTAGATATTTGAACGCGATGGCTATTTGGCTATGCGTGCGTGCGTGTGTGTGTGAATGGGTGCATATGTGCGTCCATGTAAGTGGCTACGCGATTGAGTGGTGAATGAGTAAGGTGTAAAGAGGAAAATAACGGAAAAGCGAGACTGCGAGAGCGCGCGATAGAGAGCTAGAGAAGTGGGGCAGGGGGAGGAGAGTAATAGGAATACTCATGTGTTCGTGCTCGCGTCGCGTGCGTGTAGGCATGTGGGTACGCGCGTGTTGGAAATAACCAAATAAGTGAGTGCGTTTACTGGAGTCTCGTGCAATTTAATTGTCCGATAGGTGGCAGCAATCAATATACTATGGAAGCAATCTGTGGCTTCCAGAACTTGAACTACTTACTATGCATTAGCGCTGCTGTATCATTTCTGTGTTAATAATCAAATGAGCGTTAGAGTGCATAGCTCAGCTTTAATTTGAGTAGTTCTTGATACGGTTATATTAAGATTATATACCGCCAGAGTGAAGTATTTTGGTCATAAATAAAGATTAATATAAAATTGAATTCATCATTCATGCCTATCTAAAACCATACATAACTCTTCACTCGCACCGTTCAACAGAATATAAATAACCCGGGTTAAACGCCTGTGAAAGTGTGAACCCACACGGATTTTCTACTCCCCGATATCAATTAGGCTTTTACGTTGCGTGCGCTCGCTCGTGTGTGTACGTGCGTGTGCGTGCATGAGACCGTGCGCGGGTGTGTCTTCGTAATCGGTTATAAACTAACTACATATTGCACGACGGAGATTAAAAAAAATATTCGCAGAACACATTTATTATGTTGGCACATGCCTCGAGAGAAGCGGTTTTTAATACCCATGTTACTTCACGCGTGTCAGTGATTTATTGGAGCTTACCGCGTCAAATGTTTTTCTTCGTTTGTAACTTCATCGATGCATGCATAATTAAATTGGTATAACTCTTTAGCTTCGTGAGAATTAGTGAGGAAAATGAATACAATTTAGCACAATGGCAAAAATATTACTCTGTGTATAGCGATGAATACTTTTTTTTTTACACCATATAGTACCTAATTAAGAATGCCACGTTTTAGTAACTGCATTACCGTGATAAATTCGCTGTTTCTTTATTGTACTCAGCCCAATTGATTTCTTCCGATTCACAGACAGCAATTATCTGATGCCTTGTAGCTTCTTTCCCTTCCATGGAATGTTATTTATAATCTATATTATATGAGCATATAATGTGTCCAATTTAAATTATACTATGTCCTGAAACCATTATTTACCTAAGTGTAGTCAATTCATTTGAAATGATTTTGTGAGTAATGGCTTCAACCCGTAACGGCAATTTAACTTCAATTCATTAACTACATTCACTGAATAAATAACTAGAATTTCTACCGCAATATATATTGATTATGTATCAAGGAATCGGTATTCTAAATGTTTTATTATAATTATATCAGTAAGTCGAGTAACCTCTTTCCAAACTGTGTCCCACAGCTAAAATGAACGGTTGAAATACCTGTTCCGTTGAATTGTGCGAATATCGATTAGTTGAGTAATTTGATTGTAAACCGTGCCTCCATAGCTTCATTTACACGTTACGTCTCAAAGGACATTATTTTAGCGTCTGTTTAGACTGACTCCTTGCGTAAATAAGAATTAGCTTCTGTTCTCAACTTCCCTGGCGTAGCTTTTGGTTACGGACAGTGAGCGAGGGACCCGTAGTCAGGTACTTCCTAAATATCCGTGACGTTGTAAGCCTAGGATGGCACACATAACCTTTGCACATGTATAATGTTGTTATGACATGCTAGATATATGACAGTCGTTGTTATCAACGAAGTTTCTAACAACACGCCCATGTTTATAGTGTTTTCGTCCCTTCCCTCATCCCGGCAACGGCTATTGGCAGTCTTTTAAACCGGAAGTGCGGTTGCATCGTTGCAGGTTACGAAGAGCAGGCGTGCTTCGTGCAGCCGTGTGCTGTCGACTGCGTTGTGAGCGTATGGTCACCGTGGAGCGTGTGCGCCGACCCGTGCCACGGCGGCACTAGCAACCGCAGCAGAAGTATCGTCGTCAACAACTACGACGGAGGCAGATTGTGCCCCGAGCAAGTAAGGAAGCGAGGGCGGACGGCGGTAATGATGAGGAAGAGGAGGAGGAGGAGGAGAAGGAGGATGTGAAGGAAAAAGAGCAATATGAATGGGAGGAGGAGACGTAGAATGAAGAGGCAGAAGAAGAAGAAGAGAAGAAGAAAAAGGAAAATAAGAAATAGGAGGAAGGGGAGGAAGAGGAGGAGGAGGCGAAGAATTAGAAGAAGGAGAGGGAGGATGAGGAGAAGGAGAAGGAGGAGAAGGTGGACTTTTAAGAGGAATGGGAAATGAAATGGAACAGGCTGGTTTGGAGAGATAGTAGAATCGGATTTAAAAAAAATGAAGATGAGGAGAAGGAGGAGGAGGAAGATGAGAAAGAGGAGGAAGAGGAGGAGGAGGAGGAGGGAGAGGAGGAGGATGGAGAAGAAGAAGAAGAAGAAAGGGAAGGAATGAGATAAATAAAGAGGGTGGACAGTAGAATAAAGGAAGGGGAAGGAAGATGAGGAGGAGTAAGAAGAGGAGTAAACGGGAAGGAGAAGGAGGCGAAGAAGAACTAGAAGAAAACTGAGTAAGGTGCTGACAACATTGAGAGTTAGACGGACAGAGGACATACATTATAGAGTCATCAGTAAGGAAACGGATTAAGGCGTACACGGGCTTGCTATATATTCCGATATGTTCCTGCGATAATACTAGCAGCAAATCTTCAACTCAAGCGCCCAGACAACCAGATTGCTTGTTTTTAGTTACGATAGGTTTCTTTTGCTTATGCCATTACATTGTTTTATTGCGTTGTCTTGATGTCGAGTATTATTTTAAGTGTGAAAACACTGTTATGTGTTTTATTACCAGATGACACAGTTTAAGACTTGTCCGGCAGTCTGTAACGAGTATGTCTGGACATCCGGGGACTGGAGTCCGTGCCAGAGATTCAACAGCAGTGCTAGTTCTAGAAACTCGGTTGATGGGGAGTGTGGCTGGAAAGGAACGCAAAGCAGGAGAATTGTGTATGATTTTCTTACCTTCTAAAACTAATACCACTTCGTAGTTTGTAATAAATCCAAACTTAATAGAGCAAATGATCAGCGAATGTGAGACTTATATTTGCCAGTCCTTGATTACGATAGAATATTTGGTGAGGAAATCGAGAGAATAGAACGTGAGAAAATTATTTCTTATGAAGAGATTTATAACAATAGTGAAAATAAACAACGCGACAATCGTGAAACCCGATATATTTAAAAATCCTATATCTTATCATATACAACGAAAATTCATGTTTTTGCCTTTGTGTAAATCACAAATTTAATGTCAGAGTTATCTATGATTTTCCTTAAACTTAATCATTTTGTAGTCGTATATATTTCCTTTTATAATTTTGGTGTTATTTTGCGAACGATTGTTCGCGTTCAGCGTCTGTGTGCCGTATTGTTAGCTCACGTCATTTCTCTAGGTGTGTCCACCAATCATCGGAAGGTCTGCAACAGACGGTTGCGGATGACCTGTGTGACGTCATGGTGAAACCAATAGGCACTGCATCGTGTCATCAGCCCTGTGCCGGCGAGTGTGTGATGAGTCATTGGGGGCAATGGTCGCCATGCGCTGAGGTAAACGTCCCCGCATATTAACTACGCCCTGTACAGGTGGCCTACGTGTGCTAGACTGTACTACTCAGAAAACTGCTCGGCACATTGTCCTGTGATCTAATTCCACCGATCAACCATATTTCTATCTCACCTCCACGAAGCAGAACATGACCAGTCACAATCGGCACTGTTGCTAGACCTGTTTCTCGTCTTTTTGCTATGTTATGACTCGTCACGCCAGTAGGTGGCGCAACATTCCAGGTTATATTAGGGTCTGTAGGTTATATACGTGCAAACGATGATACATGATTACATGATTGCATGATAGTTGGCTGATGTTCAGTATCGGATACAAAATTCTTTAGTACACTAGCGTATTCCCATGTTGATCTTTTAACTTCGTTTTACCCTTTAAATTATTTTAATTTATTGAAGCCTAGTTGTTAAATAATGACATTTCAAATCGATTCTATCATTTGATCATGATTTGATTATAATCGGCTTTACTCGTACACATTTTCACAATATTCGCAACTTTTACCGCATTACACATAAGAAAAATATTGATAAGATTTCTAATATAAAATCGTCTTTACTTTTGAGTGTAAATTAGTAATAACATTTTAATACTCCCTAATATTTTTTATTGCGGCTATTAATGCACAGCTATGCGAGAGATGAATCTCATTGACTGCATTATGTACTAGTCGCTCGCCTCTGCCTTTCAGCAATGTCTCGCACACGAGAAGCGTTATTCTTCCCGTCAGGTGGAGCGAGTGTCTGATCATAGCCTCTGTGGCGAGAAGACGCAGACGATGCAATGTCCCTGCTTTACTTACAGGTTCGCCTCTCTGAAAAATACCATTTGAATGGACGCCAATATCATAGTAGTAGCTTACATTTGTGTTTTTTTAAATCCACCCATCCATCCATCCACCTATCCATCCATCCATCCATCCATCCATCCATCCATCCATCCATCCATCCATCCATCCA